AAAAAAAAAAAAAAAAAAAAACGAGCTAAACTCAGACACCAAAATTGTAACTTACTCGAAGCAAAAAAGATGAATTGTACTAACTGGTTACCAATTCTTCAAGTTAAAAATTGTTGTTTTCGGTAGAAATATCACAAGTACGTTTGCTATCATGGGTAAAAACTAAAGTATATTGTTCATATCAATTAAAATGGAAAAGTACGTTGCTATTTTAACACGTATATCTCTTAAGACCCGAATTGATATCTTTTATTGGTGTGATCAGGCATATGTGCTACAAGAGCAAGGGAGTCTACTGGAGCTAGTGGACCCAAGTCTTGTTAAATACTCAAAAGACGAGGCAATGAGGATGTTGAATATAGCTCTCTTATGCACAAATCCATCTCCCACACTTCGCCCACCAATGTCACAAGTGGTCAAAATGTTGGATGGGAAATTACCAGTTCAACCCCCAGTGGTGAAACGAGGGGTGGAGAATCCTGACTTGAGGTTTAAAGCTTTTGACATGATATCACATGACAGTCAAACACAAGTCTCAACTATCTCGACAAATAGTCAAGGCCCAAGAAGCATATCCACTGATCGTCCGTGGATGGATACGACTTTGTATAAGCATGAGACACAGGAGAGTGCGTCTTCTGAGACGAAGCTTCTTCCCGATCTTGATCTTTATGATGTTGATATGTGAATTGGTAAGGTTTATGGTATATCATATGATTTATTTCATTCATATATGTTACTTGTACAAATTATTTATAGATTACAAATAGTCTATTAATTTATGGTTATACTTTATAATCACATTGTATTTTGTTTGAACGTGTATCATGATTTTATATAGAGTAACATTTTTGGTCCCAGATTATATAGTTAATTTTTGTAATTTTGATCTCAAAAATGTTTTCTCTTGCAATGTTGGTAATTATTTAAGAGGTTCTTGTAACATGTTTGGTTTATGTTCCAAGTAAAATGATTATTTTTAGTTTTTGAATATAGCTTTTTTTGTAATTTTGGTCCAAAAAATTTAGTCATTTTATATGAGTTGAAATACTTTTTAACAGCTACATATAATCACGGGGAAAATATCACTGTAGCACAATGAACTTATGTGTTTTGTCCGACTTGACTAATTATGTTTTTTTTCTGCGCAATAGGTCATCTAACTGTTACTGTACATGTCAATTAAGTCATTATCGTTAGTTTTTAACCATTCATCATTCCTCCGTTAACTAGTTTTTTAAATTACACGAATGCCCCTATGTTTTAAATTTCTTCCGTAGTTGCTCTTTACCAGTTATGGTTTAAATTTTACGACTAAAACTGCCACAATTTAGAAACTCTGGGGACCAAAGTTTAACATTATCATTATCCTCCCATCAATCTGGTTGAAACATGAAGCAGACCAATGGATTCCATAAACACCAAACCAAAATCATCCCAAAGAATTTTCAGATCATACTTTTGCTTTTAACCAATATCTTGAGCATCGATACATAGGGGTGTTTGGGATAGCTTTTTAAACTAAAAAGTCCTTTTTAAAAAAGAACTTTTTGATTCATGTCTTTTTCCAAAAGATAAATTTTAAAATGTGTTTGTTTAAATTTTTGAGGGGGCAAAGAGAAAAAAGCCAAAAGTTGCTAAAAGTCACATGACTTCTTAAACCTCTCCTTTTTCTTCTACTCAAAAAAAATAATTTAAAATATATTTTCAAACCAAACAACTTTTTAAACTTTTGACTTTTTGGAAAAACTAAAAGTCAAAAGTCACCCTCATAAAACATCAATCAACCACAATCAACAAATCCACAAATCCAACAATTTAGCAACAAGATACATAAACATCAATCAGCCACAATCAACAAACTCGTCATCAATTCACCATCAAAATATCTAGAGACATTCATAATAGGATCGATTGATCCCCATGAATGAATAGAGTTCGAACAACAAAATTAAGATATATTACAGGAACAAGATTGATGCAGAGGAAGAACAAGATTTAATCTTTAAAGAAAATTTGCGATCTGATGAAACTAATAACAATCTAGAGTCAAGAAAGAACACGATTTAATCTTTAAAGCAAATACTATAAAGCAAATTTGGTCCGGCTAATGACACCATATCATCTGCAAGATTCTTTAATCCCCAATTATTGACAACACTTACAAGATGAACTTTGGTTAATTTGTTAGCTCCTCCTTCTCTTGCTCTAGTTCTATCCCAGTGATCGAATCCAGTTGGGGATAAAGATGAAGGGAGTAGATCGATTTTGTAAGGACTAACACAATTCTAGGTAAATTACCTGATTTCCCTCTTTCCAAGGATCTAGAATAAACGTCGATTGTGTTTGAAACTAACTCTGCTACTTTTATGGGAAATGATCCGTCGAAATTGACGACGTCTACCACCATTACTACGACAGTTCGTGTACCTGAAACCGAACTCAACCTCCTTCGGACTGTATGATCGAACTCGAAATCGGGTAGCAGGTTTTTGACGGTTTGATCCTTCAAGTTCCCATAGGTCTGCAAGTTGTGGCACCTCGTGCAACGACTAGTCTTTCTGGCGATTTTGGGGTAGGGTTTTTGAGGATTTCATCGGGTTCAAGTAAGAAAATATCGTGAATGACATTTGATTAGGCTTTCAAGTTCCAAAAATAACTTAATACCAACAAATTATGAACAACAATGAATTTATCAGATTCAACATATTCGATCGATTGTGAATGAGCGTCAGGTAAGTTGGGATACGAAAGAGTTGAGGGAAGATGATGACAATGTTACAATTTAGTCCCCAGAGTTTCAGAAATGTGGCAGTTTTGATCGGTGCAATTTTAATCATAGCTGATAAGGAGCAACTACGAAAGAAATTTAAAACATAGGGTTCATTCGTGTAATTTAGAAAACTAGTTAACGAAGAAATTGTTAAAAACTAACGATAATGACTTAATTGACATATACAATAACAACAGTTAGATAACCTATTGCGCAGAAAAAAAAAAAACATAATTTGTCAAGTCGGACAAAACACATAAGTTCATTGTACTACAGTGACATTCCCTATAATCACGGAAATACCTTTTAATAGCTACATATAATAACTATGACCTTATAAGATATGAGTATAGTATTTGATATTTCATTGACTTTTTTGTTGGCCTTCTAATTACATTCATTCATTTTGTTAATCTTCATTCTTTAATAGAAAAGATATAATAAATTTCATCATTTTTTATCTAGTAGTTTTCAACAATATACATTTTTACGATTTTAGTCAAAGTTTAATTTTATTTTCATGACTCTTAAAAAAACTCCATTTTTATTTTTTACACCATTTAAAGCTCTTTTTTTCTTTTTTGTTGAGAAAGTGTTCTTTGAAGATTTTTACACCAAAAAAGTTTCAAAAAAATGTTTTTTTTTATTCGACAAAACTGCAAATTTAGTCCTTGTGGTTTGCAAAAAACTTTGGATATGGTCCAAAAAGTTTTCGACTTGCATAGAAGGTCCAAAATCAAAACTTTTATGTGAATTTGGTCCAAATAAATATGAAAAGACTATTTTGCCCTTATTATTTCTTTTTACATTTTCTTTGTTTATTTTGATTGTTTTAATATAAAAGAAAAAAAAAACGGGCATGACCATTTGACCACACAATACCCACCCCACATATCTCTCTCTCTCTCTCTCTCTCTCTCTCTCTCTCTCATCAAAAAGACTTCCATGATCATTTCGTTTCCATAGCTATCACCTTCCTTTCCCGTCAAGATGCCCTACAATAGTCGTCGACCCTTCTCGCCGGTAAGTTTCTTACCTCACACTGCCTCCATTCCCCTTTCTTCTTCTCGAGCCAATGGGTTTAAGTTTTAGAGCTTGAAGCCTGCCATCTAGACCAAAACCTCGATACGACAACGGTGAATCAGATAGCAAATTCGACAGCTTGAAACGTGTTAACTTGTGACAGCCTACCAATATCTTTCCCCCAGCCATCGAAATCTTCTAAGGTTCCATTTTAGATTTGATTTTGTGTTTTCTAAAAATTTCTAGGTTAGCTTAGAATTTTGATTTTCAATTTCTACAATTGGTGTTTATTATTATGTGGGTGGG